GGGGAACTCCCTCGGGCTCCGCCCGCCGACGGCACCGCCGGCGCCTCGTCCTCCCCGCCCGCGTCCTCCACGACCACCAGAATCACCCTTCCAGACCCCCGAAAACACACCAACGGAGGTCTTGTCGAGGGCCTCGAGGCCACCACGCGGACTGCGTTCGTGCTCGTTGATCCCCCCGCCCCGGCCGCCGCGGCCGGCAGGAGCGGGCATGTCGCCCCTGCGACCGCGGCCTCGACCAGGCCCTCCTCTCTCGTGCGGCGACGGGAACCCGGGCTCCGCCATCGGATGGTTGTCGCCCCTCCCTCCCCTGCCCCTGCCCCCCCTGCCCCCGCCCCGGCCGCCGCCGCCCCTACCGCCGAGGCCTTGGTAGTCTCTCTCGAGGTGACGGGGGCGAGCGGGCCCCTCCACGGGGCCCCCAGCTCCGCCGAAGGCTTCGTGCCCTTCGTGCAACGCCGCCCCGGTGAAACGCTCGTAGTCGTAGTCTTCCGCCGCCCCCCCCCTCCCGCCGCCCGGGTACCGAGCCTTCTTGTTCCGGGGGGACCCTCCACGCTGGGGCTTCCCGCGCCCTCCGCGTTCCCAGCCTGCGGCCCCATCTGAGCCGCGCGACGGGGGCGAGAAATCGCGGCCACGCCTGTCCCCGCGCCCGCCGCCGCGGTCGCCGGCGCCCCGCGGCGAGGGCTCCCTCCGCCCCCTCCGGAACGAAGCGCCAGGAGGGGAATCCCCGCGGCGATACTTGTCTCTGCTGTTCCCTCGCCCTCTGGGGCTCCGAGCCGCGCTCTCGGGGGAGCCGTGGCCCATGGAGGATCTCTGGCGGCTGGGGGGAAGGTCGCCCGGCAGGTAGCGCGACATCGGCTTGTCATCGGCGCTGCTCCGCACGTCCTGCGTAACAGCGACAGCGAATGGCAGGAGGGCTTTAACGGCAGAAGAATGGCAGGAGGGCTTCCATGGCCGACCAACGAACAGGCCCGTGTCGACAATAAAACCAAAGCCGGTTACACGCACATATGGCGTGACTGCCGCTGCACACAGCAAAGCGGAACGACAACCGACCGAAATGAGGGCGTTTGCCGTTCCAAGCACAGGTGGAAACAAGTCCCCCAACGCCAGCATACACGCATGAAAAGCAGAACGGGACAATACTGCAAAATAACGTCCCCTCTTATCACCTAAAAAGAAAACATTCCGCAAACCTGCTGCCAACGCCCAGAACACGACTCACCTGGGAATAATCCTTCCCGCGGTGTGACCTCCCGCCCACCCTCTCCCGCGGGTCCGGCTGCTCGTCCGCCCGCCCGCGCCGGTCCCTCTTCCGCACCGCCAGGGCGTACTCCTTGAACTCGTCGCGGTTCCTGGACGACGAGTCTCTGCCGCCGTCGTCAAGCTCGCGCCCCTTCCCTCCGGAGGAAGGGGCGGCACGAGCAGCGTAGCCCTCGTCGGCGGCCTGGGCAGCATACCCCTGGGGGGCCCCGCGCCGTGAAGTTCCCCCGAAAGAACGGTCCTGCGCGCCTGCGCGCCCGCCGCCGCTGCCGGTGGCAGCGGCGACGCGGTCCATCGCAAGCATGCGCTTGCTGGGCTTCTCGGCCTGTGGGTTCGGGTGCGCCGCGGGGCGGGATGTAAAGGACTTCGTTTGGCGACGTATGCATGGAGTGAAACAATGCGCTTGTGTCAGGAAAGCTGCAGCCTCTGAGGGGTGGGGTGAGCCCACCCGTGCGGGATCAAACAGGGGCACGTCAACGTGAATGGGCCCCGTGATTGGGGCGATGGGTCATGCATCATTTTTCCTTTCGACAGGCGACAAGGCAGCTACTTCGACGCATACACCGATGTGTTCCGGCGCATACACCCTGAAAAAAAAACTCACCTCGCGACCAGACTTGTCACGCCCGCTCTCTCCCTTCTTGCTCTTCGAGGACTTGTCCTTATCCTTCTCCGAGGGGCTGGCCTTGGAGTCGCCTTTGCTCTTGGACGAACCTCCCTTGCTGCTTTTCTTGCTGCTCTTCTTGTCGCCGTCCGGCTTGCTGCCGGAGCCCTTGGAAAACTTGGACGACTTGCCGCCGGACTTATCCTTGTGGGGTCGGGGGGACCCCTGGGAGGAGGACTGGTCGTTGTCGCTGGCGGCGGCCTTCTTGGCCTCCGACTTGGAGGAGGTCGCAGCCTCGGACTTCTTCGACCCTTTCTTACCGCCACCACCATCGCTCCCCGACTTCTCGCTCTTCTTGTCGGAGCCTCCTCCGTCCTGGCTCTTCTTTTTCTTTTTCTTGGTCTTCCCGCCAGTACCCTCGTCTCCGGCTCCCTCCGACGCAACAGCGGCGGCCGTCGCGTTGGTATCTTTGCCCGCTTGAACCTTTGCACCAGGCTCCTCCTTACTTGTAGCCGCTCCCGTTTCTTTGGGTTCTTTGACCGGGGTGCCAACTGTTTCCGCTACTGACACCAACGGCTTGCTCTCGGTGGCTGCCTTTCCCTCGGGGATAGCGTTACCCTGCGTACCAACCCCGCCTTTACCTGCGTCGATACTTTCCGAGTTGGATGCACCACTTTCTACCTCCGGCGGCACCCCTGCGTTGCTGTCAACTGCACCGTGCGCCGCCGCCGCTGGGGTATCCTCTTCGACTTTCATTGTGGGATCGGGGTCGATCTTGTCGTCTACCTTAGCATCGCTTACCGCAACCGCTGCCGGCGACTCGGCCTGCTGCTGCACTTCGTCTACATCCATGGCCGTCAACGAAAGATCGACAACGTCATCATCCCCGTCTCTGTTCGCCGCGCCGCAGACGCCGCCGGCCGGCTCCACCGCTTCCTTTCGAACCTCTTCATTGGCCGGTGCAGCAGCGTCTGCTCCTTCACCCTCGCCGGCCGCGCCCGCTAGTTTTGGCCCGTCGCCGTCCTCCACCTTGGCGTCATCCTGCGCCTCGCCGCCGCTGTCGTCCGGAGGCACTCCATTTGTGGCCGCTTCAACGACAACTGAGGGTCCTCCTTCGGTTAACGTTATTCCTTCTTCAGCAGCCGCTGCTGCTTCTCCTTCCGGCACCGCATTCTCTCCTTCCACTTCTCCAGCAGACGCTGCTTCTCCCGGCGCCGCCTCGCCTCCTTCCACTTCTCCAGCCGCTGCTGCCTCTTCTCCTCCCGCCGTCGCCACCTCTCCTTGGGCAGCAGCAGCTACCTCCGCGGAAGCTTCGCCTTCAGATTGAGCTTCTTCGGCCACCTCGTCCTTCTCAGTGTCAGCGTCGTCTTCTTCGACAGCTTCGTTTTCGGCCAGTGCCTCTGCATCTACCTCTACGGCTTCCTCCACCCCACTAGCCGCGCTCTCAGTAGGACTACCCGCTGCTTCGGCAACATCAGTCTCAGCCGCTGCTGTCTCTACCGCAACGACCTCATCCCCGCCTGTCGCTTCTTGCACATCTACCTGCGACTGTTCTTGAGGAGGTACGTCATGCTCCGTCGCGGGCACGTCTTGCATTCCCGTTTCCACGGTCACTTCTTTATCAACGGAACCAGCTACACTATCGGTACCGAGACTCTCCGCCGAAATCTCCACCGCGTCACTCCCATCCTCCTCTTCCGCCGGAGCACTCCCCGAAACGGCAACGAGGGCGGCCTCCGCGGGGGCAGCAGCAGCAGCAGCAGCAGCAGCCGTGGGCGGCGAAGACGATGGCGAGGGTGCCAGCGTGGCCGCGTTGTTTCCCGCCTCCCCGGTGCCTTGCGTGGCGGGAGTCGTCGTCGCGGCGGTATCATCGGCGGCGTTGGCCTGCCCCGCTGCTCGGGTGGGTCTCGCGGGAGGGGTTACGGCATCCGAGGCGGCGAGGGACGGCGGCTCGCTTTGTTCTCGTGGGGTTTCCGCTTCTGGGGTGGCAGCGGAGCCGTTGCCTTGGACGGTGGCAGACGCGTCCTCTCCCGCCGGCAATTGAGCGTCGACGGCAGGGGGAGGGGCGGAAGAATCCGTAGCGGAAGCCTGGGTATGGCGGGGAGAGGGTGGCGATAGCGGCAAAGCATGATCGGGGAGGGAATGGTGGCGGTGGGGGGGTTGGGTTTTGGGGGCGAAGAAACACACAATCGAAAGCAGCAGCAGAGGTGAGAGACAAAAACGTCACATTACTTCTCTCAACGCGTGGGCGGGCCAACGTCAAGCGTGTGCACGTGAGCTTTCAACTGGCAGTGCTGAGCGCTGGTAACGCGGCGACGGCACCAGTATCGGGAACGAAGATGGCGTCAGACAAGTTGCACGGGTTGCCCTTGCTACACGCCGACGTCTGTCCCGGAAGCCCATACGGCTTCGACTGGCGCAAGCTTCTGGATGCGTGGATGAGATCTGTCAGCCCGTCAGATTCACGAGAAGCTCTCCAACGTTTGCGGCAAATGGTAGAAAACACGGCGTAGTTGTAGATACTGATACGCAGACTTTCTACCAGGCAAGCTGACAAATGTATTCCTGTGAATGAGGGATGCCGGCCATGCCGGAATATGTCCTGCAAACAGACAAAAAGGGGGAAAAGGCGGCGAACAATGAAGGAGGACAAATCCATGCAATAGGTTCGTCTCTAACAAAGCGGCACTGGAAGAAACGAGAAACGCACCATCACCTTGTCCAACAATCCAACCGGGTGCCATCAATGATTTCGGACAAAATGCAGCGCAACGCGGCGGAGTTCGACCTCAAGGCATGTCCGCAGCGTAACCCACCGCGTTGGCACGAGGAAACAATTTGATCCGACGGAGAAGGAAGAGTCGTCGGGTGGTGGGCTGTGGGTACTTCGCGAGCGGTTTCCCGAATATTCGTCAAAGCCATCGAAAAGACCATTCCAGGTTACCGCTGTACCAGTTTAGAGCGGGTGACCTCATGCTCGATATATACACATCCAAACTCCCACTGCTGCCACCATGGGACATGGAGAGATTGGGCACCAAAGCCTGGAGATGTCAAAAAGACACAAGCCTCGCGTGGCGTGGTTGGTGCAGACTCCGGTAGACAACTTTGCCTGAAAACCAATCATGCATTCGATATCTGCCAAAGACCTTGTCTTCATCACTGCTGTGACGCCAAAAGAAGGCTGGTGTGAGAGCACGTCCTAAGACACCAGCAGGCGCTCGGGAAAGAGACACCCCTCTATATACGTTCTACCTATAGTACACGGTGTTTCAAGAATAGAGCGTACCCAACAGGAGGATAGGGGGGCGCGGATGGGCAGCCCACAGACGCTCACCGAAATCTTTGCGCAGCTTGCGGCGGTCTCGCTGTCTTTAGCGCCAGCATCATGTAAGGAGTTACCGCACTCTCCGGTGCGTGGGAGGTTCGTTCCCGGGCCCTCGCCTGCAGCGCATGAGTCTGCCGTGCCGCCGCCGCCACTGCCGGGGTCTTCGGTAGCCATCCGCTCGTGCCTCGCACGACACAGCTGCCTTCCTGGACACACCCCAGTCTTGGCAGAGATGATACAGAGGGTGACAACGAGAGAGAGGGCCTGCCTGTCACGCAAAAAATATGCTCTTCACGCACTCAAGAAGAGGAAGGTAAACCTGCGGGCGATGGATTGGGGAGTGTTGATCCCGCACGCTGACCTTGAAACGTTCAGGGTGCTGGCTGTGCACTGCGTGCGTGCCCTTCGTGTTTCCAGCACTTTTCTTACGAGATGGGGGCTCCGTGAATCCTACTTTAGGTGTAAGCGGGGGTAGCTGCGGACGCAAGGGCGGGGTGGGGAGGTCAAGGAGCCAGAGAGCGCAGCAGCAGGTACCCGATCATCATCCACCCCTCGCACACGCCACAACCCGCTTATCTGCCTGCTATCTCTGGATCTGGTGACCAATACTTTGATCCTTGCACACATCCATCACGAGATACCCTTGGTAAGCGTCGGATACGAACCACGTTGACTTTCTGGAAGAAGTTCGCTGGATTGATGTTTTGGATTGTGGGCTCACATCAGGCTGTTCTACGGCGAAAGTGTATGCTGCTGCACGCTGTCTCGAGTCAGGAGTAGGGCGGCGGTTATCTGTTGCCGATGTTTGCGCCGTTGCATGTGCTTGCCTGGCACGTAGGTAATAGATATCCTGGTAAGTGTTGTGCCTTTTCGATGTTCACAGCACCGTTGGTTGAAGGCGAAGTTCAGAGAGAAGCTTCGCTGGTTGCTCGCAGGCTCGTTACAACATATGTACGTTGTACACTACTGCAGAGGCTCTGCACCAAAGACATCCAATACCTCCATCCGGTTGAGACTCTTCCACCCAGGGCAAGGAAGCAACTGCTTTTGTCCGCCTCGATATCTTTTGTGCGGTGCTTGCATGAGATGTAGGGCGTCACTCCAGCTTGTTTTCGCTGTGACGTCAACCGGCGGAGAGGCACGGCGGTTTCCGCAGCAGCACGGCGGTTACCTCTCCTGCTGTAACCCCTTGTTGGTGTCGCAGCACCCAGAGGATGCCTTGTATCTACCACGTTTCCAAGTTCATGAATACGAACCTGCCCTGCGGGCCCCAGCTTGATTGCTATTGTGGCGAGCACTTTCTTTGCTACTGCTGTGTAGGTAATAGATTTCAGATTCAAAACTCACTCAAATGGCTTCAGAGGCTGTCCTTCACCCTCTCAACAATTACACTGACTTGAATCAGGCGTGGCAGGTTTATCGCCCCCCCATCCGGCGTCCTGGCGTCGATGATATCGCCAAAGTAGTCCGCTCCTTGTCTCAAGTTCTGGCAACAATACTCGGGCGTGTCCCCCCCTGATGTTTCACATGTTGGTGCAAACAGAGTAGATGCTCCGCACGGCCTTATCTCTGCTGGTACTGAGTAGCTCTTCAGGAGACGGGATGAAGAGTGTTGGACGCCAACACAATTCCAACATTACTTTCATTGGCATCAGTTTGAGAGCCTTGGTGGTGCAGACGGCTGCAGATTGCCAGTTAGGTATGGACAGATTGATTTCGTGCTCCTGTGGGAGGCTCTCATTTGAACCCACGTTGCACGCGGTTTCAGACGACGAGTATTGCGGTCATGCCGGAAAGATGGACTACACTGCTGACACGCAGCTCTCAAGCAAGAACAAAGCTCACGAACTTGACAACGCTCCTTGCGTGGTGCGTGAGAGCATCAAGTGCAGGAAACCGCTGTCACGGGCCCCCAAATTTACTGACATGCCGTCGTTGGCTCCTTGTGGTTTTGTATGCGTACAACCAAGCGACCACACAAGAATGACCCAGGGGCTGTCTGTTCTGCTGCCATGCGTTGCAATGCCGTAAGGGGCTGCGCGTTGTTGGACCCAAAGGAGGAGCGAGACAAGCCGGAAACAGGGTCAGACGTGTCCAGATGAAACTACTCCGATTTTCTAGTGATACCATAGGTTTGTTTCGATGTTACGGTCGATAGACCTCGCCAGGGAAGCAGGGCGGCCTCAACACAAAAGCGCCTGCATCATCGTCAATATGTTCTCTGTCACGCACCCTTGGCGTATCGGTGAACGTCCCAAAACAGCACCACCATTTTGCGCACTCACTATATCCTAGCCCTAATCTGGTTCCCTACTTGTGTTTCACACCAGCTTGCTGCTGCCTTGTTTTTCCGGCGAACCGACAGGGTGGGAATCAAGGTCGCAAGCCCGCTTGTGCACATCGAAAACTACTGTGCCGTCCGCCGGAAGGTACTGCTATACCTGGTGATATTCCGCGTATCCCCCACACGATGAGCTCATCGGGTGGAGGAGAAGGCAGAAGCCGAGGAGGGGGGAAAGGAAGAGGCGGAGGAGGAGGACGAGGAGGAGGAGAAGGTGCCAGCGCCGCCGGGAGTAGCAGCAGCCGAGGGCGAGGTAGCAAATCATCCCGGGGCAGCCGGAGCAACCGAACCTCGAAGCCCGCATCTTCGACTCCCCCAACGACTGAAGCGACGGCTGCGGCCGCCACCGCTCGGCCGCCACCGCCGCCACCGCCGCCACCACCACAGTCGGGAACGGCCACCGCGACCGCCGCCGCCGGCAAGCGAGATGACGGCCTTGTGCCCGGCTCGGGCCTCCTGGCTCTCCAAGCCCTGGCCCCAGCGCAGAAAAAGTCCAAAGCAGACCCGAAAACCCCCACGGCGGCGCCGGTGCCACAACCAAGCGCGGTGCCAACCCCCAAAGATCGAGCTGGTGGCAGTGTCAGCGGGGGCGGAGGCAGTCGCAGTACCATTCGCGGGGCGAAGGGCGCAGGTGGGCGGGACACCGGCGGCAAGACAGCGGCGACGACGGCGACGCAGCAAGAGAGGTCGGGCAAGGCTCTCGGTGGTGCTAATAGCATGGCCGCCGGCCGCGAGAGGGCGGCGGCGGCGTCAACGACGACGGGTGGCCGGCGAAATTTCGCGGCGGCCGCGGCGGCCGCGGCCAAGGGAACGTTGTTGTCAAGCGCGCGCGGGGGCAAGCCGGAGAAAGACGGCGCTACCAGCGGTGGTCGAGGAGGGGGCGGGAGGAAACCCTCTGGCAAGGGCACCGGCGCACGGCAGCTCTCCGAGGTGATGACGATCGATACATAGCGGTGACGGAGGCGTGTGCTCGCCTTCGTGTGTACTGTGGACCCCTGATCCAATCGAGGGGTTTTGTTTGGGCTCTGAGGAGCCCTCTTTGTTAGTCTCCTTACCTCATAGATGTGAGACCGTTGGTTGACACACGACACGGTTCTTCATTTGTTCAGGACTGACCTCGACGAGGCATCCATCCTCGGTGTCAAGGTTGTCGCTCGCTCATATTTGTTGGGAGCTGTTGCAGGCTGTGCTCCTAGACATCAGTAAGCGTGCGTTGTGGTTGTCGAGAACCACCCCCCGCGTTGTGGATGGAGAGGCCCGCCTGACCTACCCTGCGACTTGACACTCTTCACGGCTGCTATCGCGTAGTTGCGTGGTATGTTTCAAACATTCACGTGGCTGTGCGGACGCACTCAAAGATTCTCCCACTACTGTCCCTGCCTTGCAGCTGATACCAGGCTACCCACGCTCATCTCTAAACCACCCCCACCGCTTACCCTGCCTTGGAAATGAAGGAGGAAGAGCAAGAGAGGTCGCGAGAGGCGGCGAAGCAGCTTGCCGCTCAGAAGGAGGCGCGAAAGAAGGCCGAGGAAGAGCGCCGGCGGAAGGCGGAGGAAGACCGCAAGGCGGCCGAAGAGCAGCGCGCTCGGCGGGAGGCCGAGGAGAAAGAGCGGAAGCGCAAGGTGACGATGTTGTGTGCATAGCGAACCGCTCTCGAACTCGCGGTGCCCCCACACGTCGGAAAGGCAACCTTCGCCTAGCTGGTATGCAAGTGTATCGGCCACTTTGCTGAATCGGGGTGTGCATGGGTAGATTGCAGGGAACGATTAGACACAACACCTGGGGATCGGTGCAGGTGATGGGTGGTTCCAGTCCATCAGCTTGACCGCGAAGCCGATGCTTCGGCAACAAGCAGAGCCAGAGCCCGCGGGAAACAATCGCTCGCCATTCATGCCCCAATCCGCCCCCCCAGATGACTGGCGAGGGGACCCCGCCGGAGGCAAATCAGTCGGGTGTGTTGACTTCGTTGCGCATCGAAACCGGCCTTAACAACAACCGCAAACGTCATGTTGCACATGTATGATGGCGACGAACCACTTTTGTAGCGTTGGTTGCGACATTCTGCGCCCGGCAGGCCGCGGACAGCCCCCCCCCCCCCCCCCCCCCAACCTAACCCGAACACGGTACATCCTTTGTTAACCCAGGCCGAAGCCGAGGCGCGCAGGAAAGACATCGAGGACAAGAAAGCCATGGAGGTCAAGCGGAAGGCGGAGGAGAAGAAGAGGAACGCGGAAGAGGCGCGGCGGAAGGCCGCGGACGAGGCACGGAAGGCTAGGGAGGAGGCTGAGCGGAAGGCTAGGGAAGAGCGCAAGGCGGCCGAGAGGGCGGAAAGGGAGGCCGCAAAGGCGGCGGAGGAGGAGCGGCGGCAGAAGGTCAGGAAGGCTTTTTGCAGGTTGCGGGGGGCGTTTTTAGATTAGTCAGCGGTGACATGAAGGAGGGAGGGGGGGCAAGGTAGCACTGTGTTTTGTTACGAGTGGCCGGGGTTTGCCGTGGGCCTCATCGGCTGTCGTGGACAGGGTAGAGGACGAGGGGGCATTGGTTGGGGGGAATCAAGGGGGGGTCGCGGAAGTTTTTGCGCGCCTCAACACGCGGCTCGTTGTTTGAGTCCATTTTTGACCCGTCATTGTGCAGTGAGGATAAAGTGGTGTCAATCATGGCAAGGTCAACGCGCTGAACACGATGGGGATTCTTGATTTTGTCGATCGTTTTGTTTTTGAATTGGAAACTGAAACAAACCTGCAGCAGTGGTCACGTGGATAAGACCCAACAGTACAGAAGTATTTGGGTGGTGAGAACACCAGCAAAAATAGCTAGGTCTTTCCTGATCAGTTATTCCCTACTCAAACGAATGAAACTTCTGTGTCGGAAGAATGTACCCGATGGACCAAGATTTTGCCGAGTGTTCTGAACTTCCTGCGATCACGATTGTAAACACATGGCCAAAAAATGTCATCACTTTGGTCGCTTGTCGAACGTGAATCGTGGTCACACATCGTTGTTGTTGGTTGCCACACCCGTTCGAACGCGAGTGGATACATCAGCCTGTCCGATCGTCGCTGCAGGCTACTTGATAGTCGTCGCCCTCGTCACACGGGAGGGCGGGCTTGCTGAGTTGTCCTTCGCCGGTTCGTTTGTGTATGCATTTTGTCAACTCAACCACCAGGAGGAGGAACAGGAGCGCGTGAGGCGGGAGTTCGAGGCCCAGCTGGAGGCGGTGTCCCAGCTAGACTTGCTCCAAAAGGAGGAACGAGCCAGGTGAGGCGATAGCTTGGTGATACATACCTTCCCGCGGTATGGTAGCAAATACTGCAGCCCTGTTATTTTTGTTTTGGCCTGTGACGCGGTGTTGCGGCGGTCATGCCACCGAAGAGTCCCCGTCCAGATGGTGGCGAACCGCGATACTTTGCGTCGTGACGAAAAGAGCGGCGTGATGCGATGGGTCTCTACAGCTGCCCCCCCCCCACTCCCCCTGCCATTTCCGCCGCATCCTCCAAGAGGCTGGTCATTTTCTCGCCCCTCGGATTCTACTCTGTCGTAAACCCCCCCTCCCTCGCCGGTCGGTAAAAAACCCGGACACTCGCAGACGGGAGCTGCGGGAGAAGCACACGCCGGAGGCCCTGAAGGCGTCGAGGGACGCCCACGAGGCCAACAAGCCCAAGCTCAAGTCCGACCTCAAGAAAACCACCGCCTTCACGAAGAAGGTCAAGGCCCTGTCGGAGGACCAGAGGTCTGCTCTTACCAAGGACGTGGAGACGCTCAACCTTAACCGTTACGTGAGCGAGGTGGTCGACGCTGTGGCGGAGAACAGGCTCAAGAACGCGGACGTTTCGGTGGCGGTGCACCTGTGCTGCCTCATGCACCAGAGGTGTGTGTGTGTGTGCGTGTGTATGTGTTTTTATTATGAGCATCGACCGCGCTAACCGGATGGCCAACGACAAGACGTCAGTCTCAGTGCGGGTGAAAACCAACAACACTTCTAAATGCCATGCGTGTGTGTGTGTGTGTGTGTTGGGATTGGCGTTATTGACCGCGCTGACCAATGAAAATAAGTCAGTCTTTGTGGCGTGCACCCATGCTGTGTGCGTGTGTATGTGTTTTAATTATGAGCATCGACCGCGCTACCCGGATGGCCAATGACAAGACGTCAGTCTCAGTGCGGGTGAAAACCAACAACACTTCTAAATGCCATGCGTGTGTGTGTGTGTGTGTGTTGGGATTGGCGTTATTGACCGCGCTGACCAATGAAAATAAGTCAGTCTTTGTGGCGTGCACCCATGCTGTGTGCGTGTGTATGTGTTTTAATTATGAGCATCGACCGCGCTACCCGGATGGCCAATGACAAGACGTCAGTCTCAGTGCGGGTGAAAACCAACAACACTTCTAAATGCCATGCATTTGTGTGTGTGTGTGTGTTGGGATCGGCGTCATTGACCGCGCTGACCAATGAAAATAAGTCAGTCTTTGTGGCGTGCACCCATGCTGTGTGCGTGTGTATGTGTTTTAATTATGAGCATCGACCGCGCTACCCGGATGGCCAATGACAAGACGTCAGTCTCAGTGCGGGTGAAAACCAACAACACTTCTAAATGCCATGCATTTGTGTGTGTGTGTGTGTTGGGATCGGCGTCATTGACCGCGCTGACCAATGAAAATAAGTCAGTCTTTGTGGCGTGCACCCATGCTGCCTCATGCACCAGACGTGTGCATGTGTGTGCGCGTGTGTTTTGCATCGACCGCGCTACTGTAGCGAATGAAAAGTCATCAGTCTTGCAGTAGCGGGATAAGGTGCAGGCTTGGGGGGGCTGGTGCACTACTGGTGAAGATGTCAGCAGTGTTGAACCTTGCTTGCCTCGGTTTAACCAGACGGTTCAAGGCGTTGCACGACAGTCGGACAGGCATGTTTCTGTCTCTCTGCGCGCCCTTCCCACGCGTCAGGCGTACCTTATGCAGCTTGTATCCTCGCTTTCTTGACCCCGTGCGCGCCCCTCATGCCCCTCGTGCTCCCGCGTGTGTTTCGTCGAAGGTACGCCGAGTTTGCTGAGGACCTGATCCCGAAGCTGGCGGCTCCCTTTCTGTCGGCCCCGAGCGGGGAAGAAGAGCGAGAGGAGAAGGAGCTCCTACGGCGAAAGTGCGCACGTTTTTGTAGGGGGGTTGGTGTTTTGCATTTTTTGTAGCGGAGAATCGACGAGAGACCAGGAACAAGTAACAGGGGCCCCGACATGTTGCAGTGTCGTCTGGAGTGCATCCAGTACCGCCATGCGATGTACAAGTATTTGGGAGAGCGCGGAACATGAGGGCGCCCCCTTTTGCGGTACTGGCGGCGCGGAGGCATGTGTTCACTCATAGCTGCGAACCCCGAACCAGCGTATGCGTTCGGTCTGATTGTCTGTTCGCACGAGCGCCATCCCTATGATCTAGCCACTCACTTTTTAGGCCTTCTGTTCTCTCGTACGTACGAGCACGTCGTCATTATTCCGTTGGTGTTGTCGATGGTGTTATGCTGCTATTGCCGCCGCCGCTGCTGCTATTGCCGCTGTTGCTGCTAATGCTATCGCTACCGCTTTCTCCGTCCTTATGACACACATGTGGTCCCACGTCCCCGAGGCAGGAGGTCGAACTTACGGCTGTTGACGGAGTTGCACGCTTCGGGCGTTTTCGACGGAAGCCGCCTCATCGTAAGGATCGTCCGCTCTCTGTGCGGCCTGGAGGGCAAGGACGGAAAGTGAGCACGAGCAGCACAGCAATGCGATCTTCCGTCGCAAACACACCCCGCTCTCGCCTTGCTGCAACCTCATCATGAAGTGTTGTACCAATCAGAGCACACCCTGCCCCCGTTTTGTACAGCAAGTGCCTCCTCCTACGCCGTTCATACCCCCTGTGATGGACAGCTTGGCATGAGTTTTATATGCGTCGTATAGCACACACCCCTTACCAACGCCAGCGACAACATCAACGATAACAACGACGTTGTTTCTTTTTTTTTCAGGCGGCAGCGGCCAGGTCCGGGCGATGCTGCCAGGCGGCGCGACCAACAGACCGTCACCGCGGCCCCACCCCCCTTGCGGGAGACTGATGTGACCCTCCTCGCTGGCTTTGTCCGGGCGGCCGGAGAGGTAACAGCGTATTGCACATGGAAGTATGATACAGTATTTTTGAAGTATTCTCGAGGGGGGTGGGGTCATGCTCCAGATGGCGTTTTTTTTATAGGGTGGCTGGAGAGGTGGGTGGTTGAAGCATTCGCGGGTGGGGGAGGAGGCGCAGGGTTTCATGATAACTATAATTATGGCGTTTCGGTCGAAGGTGACTGGAGAGGTGGGTAATCGAAGCATTTTTATGGGGATAAAGGGGTGAAGAGGCGGGGGGGTTCACGTTGCACGTGGCGTTTTTGTTGAGGGTGGCTGGTTCGGCAATGTTGTTCACGTATCGTTTGTCTGCGTTCACGGGGTCTACTGTTGTGTTGGGGTTGACTGACCGGTGCCAAACTTGTTCTGTGATTGTTTGCGGTATTGATGAGAAGGACATGGTAGGAGTTTTGCAGCGCAAGACGGCCGGCATGCTGAAGCTGGCGGGGGAGATGGGCAAGCTTGAGCGGGAACCGGTGGTCGATGCGGACGTCAAGGCGCGCCTCAGGTATTTAACCGCTTCATTACCACCGCTGTTAACACCGTTGCCATGGGTTGCATACGTGAGACATCACACCCCTTGGGATCGATTTTCAGAGCTCATTGCTTTGCAGCAGTATCAGTGACGGTGCTGATAATGGCGCTAGGCGTTGGAACCGTCTCGTCGAGAGCTTTCCGAAAATGCGTAATTTGATTGTGGCATCCTCTTCGTCATGGAGTAATCGAGCTTTGAAAAATTGATCCATGGGGTGTGATATCCTACGCAACCAACGGTTCGGCTGCTGCTCTGAACCTACTTTTTGTCGCCTCGTCGTGGCTGCTGCTGTTGCTGTTGTTGGTTTGCTCCGTTCCCTACGCACTTGGCGCGGCTATGTTCGAAATCCTACGGTTCGTGTGTGGCTCATGAGCCCACCCCCCTCCTGTACATCCCCTCCGTTCTAGACTTGAGTGGGTTGGCGCTGTTGGCAAAGCGCTGTAAAACACGCCACCCCAAATATAGCCCCCATAGTATGCGCTACCAAAGACGCGTGACGCATGGATGCGTGGAGTGAGGATAGCTGTTTACGGAAACCTCACAGGTTGAGTGATGTTGGAGATTGACGAACACGTAGACGTGTTGAATGATTATAACTATATACTGAAACCTCGAGGGTTGAGTGAGGTTTGAGATTGCCAGACACATGGACGGGTTGAGTGATGTTGGAGTGCCGGACACATAGACGCGTTGAATGAGGATAGACACATATTGAACCTCACAGGTT